CAAACTGAAATTGGTAGGTACCGACTGCTAGTACCTAGAAAAAGGTTATAGCTCACAAAATTCCTGAAATTACAGTACTTCTTTCTCGCCGGGTGATGCAGTCCAAGCAATTATTTCATCGTTGGCGTAGATCGCTTTACCAAAGTAGGGATCGATGTAGGTTACGGATGTTACACCGCTGTAGAAAAAAGCATTGTGTTATGCAAGTGGTAGAATGTCATGTAGGAAATTGTCATACGTGTCCCAAACCCATAATGTGAAGGAGTTGGAAGCCGTAATGGTAGACAGACTGTACACTTACCCACTTCCGTTACTGAAATCAAAGCCTTTTCTTAACATACACAAAAATCAAATTGTGCTCAATTTGGGAAAAATTCAAAAGGTCGTTCTAGCAATCATTATTCATAACCACACGTTCGTTTTCCCACAAGTCTGCTATGATGTTTATTTAGGCCCTTTTGGTAACATGTCTTCCTTGCTAGGCAGATGTCTCCTAACTTGCAGTTGATTGAAATAGTTTCCGAAATTTGTCAATTCAAATTTTCGGAAAAACCACTTTTTCAAATTTTCAGGGTTAAGGGCTCGAAATTGAAAAGCATGGCAACAAATTCTTTGGAGAGCTTGGAGTTGTGACTGAAGCAACGCCCCCCCCCCCGTAAAAATTTCTGTTGCTTTCGTCCCTGCTCAAATCTGAGACCGCCAGTAATATTTATTTAAAGCACAATTTCTCTTGAGCATAAGAATGAGCTAGTCAAGAGGGTCTTTAGCAAGTTTAAAAATAAAGGCAAAGACCTAGTTCCAAAGAATTTGTTGGCATGCTTTTCAATTTTGAAACTCTTTTCAAGCTCTAAATAGGAAACTAATATGAATGCTTACGGTACAATAATAGTCCGTGGCACATACCATGCAGTGCATGCCAGCCCTTCAAAGATGATCTTCAGCTTTCGAGCCTAACAAACAATATTTTCCTTTCTCATTGTCAGCTCAGACACTTTACAATAGTAAGCCATATAAAACAGCGAGTATTCCATTATTGCATCAATTACTATATTTCATGAATCATTAATTATTGATCACCTTCATTGGTTCATGTAGAACAAGATGAGCTATTCCTTCAACAACCGAGCCAGGAGTATAGACATCGTCAGAATTTGTTAAAGTGATATAAAGCAAACTGTCGGGCATGTTTCAGTCTGCAACATTTGTAATTGAATCATTTGTAAGTTGTTGTTTCCGACTCTCGTAAAATTGCACTTTTTCGTGATTATTTCACTTTTTAGCAACAAAAATGCAATTCCCCAGCTGACTCCAAATAGTTTAAATGCAGTGACTCGGAAATTCAATTACGAGCTTTCATCCCTCCTTGGCCTTCTAGATGCGCTGAGTTAGATGCGCTGAGTCCAAAGCTGTACTTGAAAAGTCGAAAGAGTGTTTTTCATGGCGTTTTCCAGTCTTGGAGATCGCCGAAGGAGATGGGGGTCGCAAACTGAGTCGCGATTGGCTGCCTGCGCCGATCAGCCAATTGCTGTCAGAATGGGTGGGGACATAGTATCCCGCGACCAGTCGCAGCTTTTTGGTGGGAACCCCTCGCTCAGCCTCCTCAGCAATCTTCAAGGCCCGACAAAGCCGGAAAAGCACTTTTTTGATTTTTCAAGCACTCGGACTCAGCGGATTCAGAAAGCCTTGTAGGTGCGAAAAGCTCGCGCTCGCGATTTTCCCGAGCCATTGCCTTTAAAGGAGTAGTCAAAAGGTTGTCTGCGTGTGAATAAAAATGTATGGGTAATCCTTCGACTTTCAATCAAGAGGTGCATAGATATAGTTTTGTTGGCGCTATTCCAGTATACCGACCCCAAAAATTGAAAATCTCGGATTTCGCTCAAACTCGGTATAGGGGGGTTATTCGATACGCTGATGCCGAATATCATATCGATTTCGTGTGGTAGCGCCATTTTCTGGGGGTTACGGTGGGCATACGGTAGGGGGTCAAAATCACAAAATTCTTTGAAACTCGGTGCAGGGGGGTTATTTGACATGCTGAACACGAATACGATACTCATTCGTTACGATAGCTCCTCATTCCGGAGTTACGGTGGGTATACGGTAGGGGGTCAAAACTTCTGTGCCGATTAAATTCACTGTCACGATTTTTTCTAATTTTTCAATTAAGATTGCTTTTCCCCCTCTGAGTTTATATGAGTACTCCATACAACTCATTCTGAAAACCCTGAATATCTTCCCTAAATTTTTGTAAAGGTATCCCTAATGAGGGCCTTTGGGACAGCATATGTTTTCAGCAGGGAACCGGGTACAATTCGGCTACCTGCTTCCAGAAGTGAAACAGGGACTCTTCCCGCTTGCCGAACATCTGCCTCCACAAGAACTCCTTCAGGTAATCTGCATAGCGGCTGTTGTTAATCCCGCATTTCTGCTTGACGAGGCGTTTGAACCTCTGCCAATGGCTCTCGATGTTCTGGGTGTGCGCCCCAGTCGTCGGATCCATAAAGTTGAGATGGTGATTGACCGTAAGGTGCCTGTAACCTTGTGGAAGAGCGGAAAAGCGATTGTAGGCTTGCCAACAATCGCTGATGATGGTGGTGCCGGGCCTTATATATTTGACGATGAGGCGCAGGAGGGTGCGAGCATCGCGTCGTCGTACCAGAACCAGGAATGATCTTCCACTTCCTCTCTCGTATCCTCCAAATAGCCATTGGTGCACACGTACAACTCGACCACGGTTGTACTTCCTCTTAGTGACGCACGTCTCATCAATCTCGACCGTGTGCCCGAATCCTCCGAGAACTGGGCGATTCCTCCTAAAGTACTCGCAACATACGTCACGGAAGTACTGCTCCCACTGGACGAGGTGGTGTGTCGTATTCCCAGCTCGTACTCGATGTCCTTCACCAGTCCGTAGTTGTGGAGCCAGAAGTACGAAAGAGCGAAAAGCTTGACAAGCGGCTGCTTGCACTTTGAGAAGAACGAGCCGGCCGTTATTCCTGAGGTTGGCTTGGTGTCCCGTCCGGTGCGACATTCTCTCCTGTGGCAAAACCAACGCTTGTGGGTCTCGTTTAGAGTCATCGGACGTCCACAAGAGGGGCATCTGGGCGTGGGCAGAAGTCATATGGACCTTAGCCATCCTTCGAATGCGTTCTCCTCCATCCTCATCTTCTCATAGATGTCGGCAAGGGTAAAGTCCCTAAGTTCCTCCTCTAGGCGTCGGAGAGCAAAAACGCGGAACACTGCCATAGCTATCGACTGACTGCTCGGCTGTGAGATCAAATGCCGTATGGCCAGTGTTCCGTACCGCTCCGTACCGGGTGGGAGTATGAACGTCAAACTTGGGAAAATAGTAGCCTCGAATTACTCGTGAAACCGATATAAAAATTCGAGTTTCTGCCTTCGAAGCCTTGGGCAGAAAATACTGCACTGCAGGAGGACAATTAAGCTACAGTATGATTATTAACATATTATTTTGGCAATGTCACGTTAATCGGCACAGAAGTTTTGACCCCCTACCGTATACCCACCGTAACCCCGGAATGAGGAGCTACCGTAACGAAAGAGTATCGTATTCGTGTTCAGCATGTCAGATAACCCCCCTGCACCGAGTTTCAGAGAATTTTGTGATTTTGACCCCCTACCGTATACCCACCGTAACCCCCAAAAAATGGCGCTACCGCACGAAATCGGTATGGTATTCGGCATCAGCGTGTCGAATAACCCCCCTATACCGAGTTTGAGCGAAATCCAAGATTTTTAATTTTTGGGGTCGGTATACTGGAATAGTACCGTTTTGTTTAGTAGTTGGAGGCGCTTCAAGAGTGACCCAATGGCGAGTCGTGTGCCCGAAAAGGCAGAATGCATGAGCCAGTGGTGAATCATATCCGTGCAGGATATTTACTGAAGAAGTCCACTGTTGGTCCAAGAGCTTGTTCAAAATCATTGGCATTGATTACTTTGATATACATAGTACTCCTATTCAGTATACCAAAGATAAACGTATTGCATGCGAGTGCTATGAGAAGAATAAGAAATCATAGGAAAGCGAAGAATAGGAATTGAAAATTGTTGAAGTTCGAGACTGGTTTGTCTGTGCGATAATGATTGCCTTGACAATCTGTGCCATAATTTCGAATTCTTCATAGTAATGAAATGATTCCATTGACAAATGTCAAGAAGTGATTCATACAATTTTGAGGGGCATTTTGTTATTTTTAGTGCCTGAGTCAATTGCGAATTCCTCCTAAATGAAACAATCAATGTTTTTCGCTGGTATAAAAACTGTCATTTGTTGCTTTTTGGTTTTCCCCCAATAAAGAATTCCAATCGTCTCTTCGCAACAACTGGAGCATAACTTAAGAATAGACAGCGAGAAGGAAAAGCTGCGCAATCTCAAAGAGATAGTCAACAGAATTTAGCGGTTTGCGTTCCAAAAAAATCGTAAGTTCTTTCAATCATAATGTTCTTGCATGGCTTCAATTTCATTCTGGAGAGTAATACATGTACTTTTTAATGACTTTTTGGTTGCTCTCTGATAAGCATTACTTGCAGAGAAAAGAACGAAAAAGCGATCACCTATTCGATGATTTTCAAGCCGTAAAAGGCAGCGGCTCGGCAGATTTTTAGCTTCGGGGTTTTGGCAGATTTGGGGCTATTCCGGCCCCCTGAATCACGACATGAACTCCCCTTAGCACTAAAATGGGGAAAACTCTTTTTTGAACCCCCCTTGAGACGGGCGCGGAAGAGTGAGCCATTTTTCTTTGCCGCCAGAGACGCAGAGTAAGGTGGTAGAGAGCGCTAGAACAATTCTGCCCTCCAAGCTACGAGCTTTCTAGCGGCGAACATAACCGTCCGCACAAGGCGTTAGGGAAGCAAAAGGGGGAAGGGGAGCGGAGCTTGGCTCACTCCCCTGGCTTGCAGAATTCATATTTTCGGCCCGGAGTTGCTCTTTTGGTTCACTTGGAGAGCCTCCTATCCATCTATGTCAAATTCTGAGGTAGGTCTATTCCCGAGCCGCTGCCTTTAAGCATCTGGAAATTATACTATAAAATCCGAAACAGTATAGCACCTCCTTCTGCCCAAAATTGTAATGATCGAGCTTTACTTTGGAAGTTTGTAATTTCAGGAAACATTAGAAAAAAAATTGCCTTCGCTGTTCTATGCAAGTCTTTCGATAATTATGACTTCTTAATGAAAGGCTTGATTACCACATAATTTGCTCAGTCAGATAGAGGAGGTGAGAAAACTTACGACACTGAATTCGGATTTTATAGCAAGATTTCAAGATTTTCAAAGTCTTGCTTCAAATCACCTCGCGTAATCTTTTTTGATTTGTATCTCTAAGCTTACAGAAGAGCTATCAAGGCGCCGTTAAAAAGCACATAATTTACTTTTTCCAAATCAAAGTCGCGCAAGAGCACCATAACTGGAAGAAGTTACACTTTTTTGAAAAATTTTCGTTCAACTAACTTTTATGTGAAGCTTGTACTAACAGGCGATCGAAATGATTGCAGTCTTAGAAAAGAAAAATTAATAACCAACAATTATTTGCGAATGTCGGAAAGCATCGGTTCAACATTACGTTACCACGTCAACTGCAATATTTCGCCCCAGGTATCAGCTGCAATATTGAGATTGAAATTTTTGGGGAAAAGAAAATCAAAAGAATCTTGACGGCTTTCGAAATACAGTCTTTAGAAAGGATCTTATATATACTAAAATGAAGCATGTGACAGGAAACGTGACTCATAAGGGTTTTCATAAATAAGAGCATAAATTCCATAAAGTGATAGGGATGTGATGTCATTTGCAAAGTCAAAAAATGCCTTAAAATGATAAGAAATTTCGAAATAAGCCAAGTTTACGATATCAAGCTAGGTGAAGCCGATTCATACAAATTATTCGCATTCTCCAAATTCTTCAATGAATATGAGGAAAATGTAATGTCGCATAGTTTATTGGCATTATCAAAAAACAAAATGGGACTACTATAGATCACAGAAACAAACGTCAATTATGTACATTCATTTCAGACACATTCAATGTTAATACAAAAAAAACTTTAAAACTCATACAATTATCACTAATGCACAAGATGGAATAAATCACAGTCCTAACTTCTCGCTAGTTGCTTGAGCGTGGTCCAAAATTGGTACAAAACTTTATCGCACAGAATACAGACTAAC